CCCTGCCGGGAAATAAGGAACCTGCCGGGAAATAAGGAACCTGCCGGGAAATAAGGAACCTGCCGGGAAATAAGGAACCTGCCGGGAAATAAGGAACCTGCCGGGAAATAAGGAACCTGCCGGGAAATAAGGAACCTGCCGGGAAATAAGGAACCTGCCGGGAAATAAGGAACCTGCCGGGAAATAAGGAACCTCTAAACCCTAAACCCTAAACCCTAAACCCTAAACCCTAAACCCTAAACCCTAAACCCTAAACCCTATGAGGGGCGAATTGACTGGTACTGCTGACACCCACCCTTGATATTCAATGATCGAAGCTTCTTCGATGGGGTGGTGCGAAAAGGATGAATGTTGCTGCTGATGCGAAATGCTTCCTTTTCAGAGCTCAATGACCCCAATGCATGACTTATAATACTTATTCCCCAACTAAATGCGGCTGCCAAAACCAAGAATTCAAGTTAGTTTAAACCAGAATCTGTTCACCTTTCAACACTAGGAGCAACTTTTGTTCATTTCGAAACTAATTAGCACTTCCTGATCAATTTTAGAATAATTTGCGCAATCAACCCTTCTTCGAGGTCTGTACTTCCAGGCATTCGCTTGAAGCGAATGAAAGCATGCGGGAAAGATGAGGAGGAGTCAAAGAGGAAATGATGAGCGAATGCATTTAGCGGCTCCTAGTACTCCCACAGAGTATATCATGACAAAGAATATGTAGCAGTCTGATCAAAACATGATGATTTCAACCCTTAGAAGTGAATTAGCAAAGATACTAAAGGGAAAGAAGTGTGAATTTCTAAGTGATTCTCATGAAAGACGAATAAATATGTACTTTTTCGTGATGTGTCTCTAAAATTTACCTCAGGAGGACTGCTCTTTTATAGTAGGAGATTTGTGTTGACAATAATCTTGCGAACCAAAAACAATTCAATGGTAACTCCTTTAGGCAAGGAAGCGTTTGATATCTTCTTTGGAAATTACAGATCAAGCCATTCAAATTTCAATCGGAAAAGCGCAGCTGACGACGGAAAAGAACAGGTGGATGATCAGGGTACAAAGGACTTGCCATTCTCAGAGAGGAATATCCGAACACAAGGAGACCTGATCCAGCTTATGCGCCATTGGAATTCTTTCATCATGAACGATGAGAAAGAATGGCTTGAGCTTGCAAACAAGCATTGACACTTGATTATAAGCTTCTCGTGTTTGAAGCCGATTGTCCCCTCTTGTACATTTTTACGGCGATGAAGGCAATATGATCGAAATTTCCACTTGGATTGTATTTCTGCAAATGATTGTTCTATTTGGCTTGACTGATGCTACCATGCTCAGGATTGAGGTTTGAGACAAATGAACTACACGTTGATAATAAATCTTTATCACATCATATGTCTGTCGTCCAGCCCGTTGTCAAACATGTCATAATCAATGAATCTTGAAGGTCCACTCAGCTCGCTTGAACGATGAAGAAGCACATAGCTACTGGAACCAGATGTCTGAAAATATTTTCTTTCATGTATCGAAAGCATAAGGCAAAACAAACTCACTGATTCTCTGAGAGGAAAGTTTCGAAGTCCCATCGAGCTCGAGTGGTATCTTTCACCTTCACTTGCTGCTGATCCTCCTGATCGAATAGGATAAAGATGTATCGATGCTTTCCTGTAACATCTGGTCACAAGTAGACAGCTCGATCACCATGTACCAGAGGCGGAGCAGGTCCCATGTATTCCACGAGACATCTGCCTTTCTCCGGCTCATCCTCAGCATCAACCACAAGCCAATGCAGCCATGGGCCAAGCCGTCCAGCAAGGCTAACGTTACGATTCGGCTGAGGGGCGTCAGGATCAAGCATTAGCAATGTTTTCTTTCCTTCCCAGGAAACTCTCGGCTGCCTCTGCAGCCACCAGTCCGATGGATCGAATTCCATCACAATCTCTTCTTGCAGATGCACAGCACCCGTGTCCGCATGATAGGTCACCTCAAGGTGACTGAGATTTGATCGGATTCCGTACGAGGCAAGAAAACCAGCTGCATCAAACGTGTTTTCCTCGCCTCCCCTTAGACGCCTTGCCGGATGGTCAAACAGCCGCGGTGTAACCTGGTGTAGCTGTAGCAACCCAGCCGTGTTTATGAAAGAAAAATCGCACTCGATGCACTGAAGAAGAAAGAGAGCAATGACAAGGTTGACAGCCAAAATGAAGTTGACTTCATACATGCGCCATATCATGAGAAATCAGACTTGACAAGGCGTTGCTTTCTGTCACAATAACTGAGATAGGCGGGGTTACGAATAGTTCTGGTAGGAAACAGGCCAGGGGATCAAGGAAGAAGGGATGATCCAACCCAACCAGAGCGTTGACGAAGAGGCTGGAGGAGCGGGGGGGTATGGAGAGGACTGACACGGCGGGGAGGGGGGAAGGGGGAGGGAGTAAAACCTATTTAACAAGTAAAAAGGAGGGGGTCCCCGGCAAATTGGGAGATGAAGCCTGGCGAAGGTACAACTTGTGATACAACACGACAGCACGTATGAGTATAGACATTGCGTAAGTCGATGCCCAACGTGCCAGATGTCCACTATGCAGAAACGGAATGTGGGATGCTTCACACAGTATACTCCCTCTCCGATCATCGTGTGCTGTTGTTCATGACGGTGCTGTTTCAGTGGTGACTTTGTTCATTTATGGTTTGCAGGTTCTTCTCCTTCACTGCTACAAGGAGAGCGTCAGAATGAGCGGAAGAGATTCATCCTCATCGACATGGACAACACGATCGTTGATTGGGATGAAGAGTTTCTGCGGAGGTTTAACGAATCGTTCGCTGACCTTGCAAGCAACCTGGCCATTGAAGAGTTAGTGAGGAACAGAAAGCACTTTGAGATTGAGGATAATTTCCCTGAGTATGTCAGGCCTGCTGTCCTCCAAGTCATCGCTCAGCCCGGGTTTTATCGCTCCCTCCGACCTCTTCCTGACGCCATCGAAGCCCTTCAAGAAATGCTCGCAGAAGGGTTTGACGTTCGGCTCGTCACGGCACCTCATCCCTGTTGTCCTGGTGTCTGTTGTAGGGACAAGTTTGCATGGCTGAAGGAGTACCTGGGCGATGAATGGCTTCATCGCATGATATTGACAAGAGACAAAACTCTCATACTTGGCGACGTGCTGATTGATGGTGAACACCTACCACATTTCCATCCAAATTCACGAAATTCGTCGTGAGAACTGTCGTCATGGGCAGCACTAACATGACCAATACAACGAATCTCACATCCTTCCTCAACATCACCAACATGAATTTCATATTTGCTTCACCTGAATCTCAGAACCCGAGTCTAACGCAGCCTGTACCACCATCCTCATCCGCAAACTGTGTATTTCTGCTGCAACTGCCCACAACTCCATGCTATCATTTTCATGACGATTTCATTCCTCCCTCTCGTTTTGTGTTCCCTGTGACTAATCTTGCAGACAAACCGAAAATTACGGGCTGCTGCATCCCCATATGGAAGCATATTATCTTCGAACGTGCTTACAATGTGGATGTTCAAGATCGTACACGCATTCGTGCATGGAAAGAGTGGAAGAAAATACTCCGTGAAGAAAATGAGACGTTAAGATGGTGAAATTAAACCATCATCCATTATGCTTAAAACGTACAGAATATAAAGAAATGTGGAAACAAACCATACAAGTTAGTATATAAGGGCATACAGCAGGCTGTTAACTAAATGATGAGGAAACTTTCTTCCTTCAGCACATGTGTTGTGCCCTCTACTTGGTCTTCTTCGCAGCATCAACCCAGTCAAAACGGAAAAATTTCTCCAATTCCTAGTCCGAACAAAGAGAAATGTGAAACACAGAACATCAGATAAGTTGAAGCACCGTTAACACGTTTGTTTTCGAGGAAGAAGATTCTTGTGTAGCAGGAGATTCTACGACAGAACATAACCAGGCTACAGGTCCGACAAAGTTCACCATCACTCTACCTTTGTTCTGCTTAGCGTTAAGCTGTGATCCAAGCTTGATGCGGGCACCGTTCGTGTCACTGCAAAAAAACATCAGGAACTGGAGTTCTAACGACGGCAGCTTCAAAGGCATTCCCAATCGCATGTCCAACACTGACTGCAAATGCTGAAACCATACCTTGTTTCTCCATGCTCTTTCTTGACAAACAGAAAGACTAGGGGCCAGCTGACAGCGAGAAGTGAAAGAAACGCCCAGACATTGCTTGCCGTGAAGTACCTATCACATTCTTAGCACAGCAAATCATCAGTCAAAAGACATCCAGACTGGTTGGATGGGATGCGATCAAACTGAGAACGAATACTGAGAGACTAAAATCAGCACTTGCCATCATTGCGGACAATATAGCACCCAACGATGATGGGCCAGGCTTTGACAGAGTCTCTGAGGTTGAGGAGGAACTCTCCTAGCTAGAAGAGCGTTAGAGCACTTAGAGTCTCTACAATGATTTGCTATTGCCTTCTCCAGTCGAAGCAAGTTGGCGAAAGCGATAGAGTATGATGTCCAAGAGTAGACTCGTCCAGACAAAACCTTAATGCCAGGCCTGGTGGAAGATTTAAACAAGGTGCGGGTCTCGTTCCTGCACACACTTGTTGTACTCAATTGGATCCCACACAGGAGCAAAGTTTCCATAGCACTGATCAATCGTCAGATCTCCTATATGAAACAAGTCAAATACTCTCACATGTCCTTTTGCGGATTTAGTATCAGCGCTGTCAACCATAAACGTGTAGCTCCAGCACTTGCCGCCCTTCTTGATACTTTGATTGATACCTGAGACGACAGCAAATTATCGACGTACAGGCCGACCATCCGCCATACACGCATGCTCGCAGCTCCACACTTCCGGGAAGGAGCCAAGGTACTTTCCGAACTTCGGATTCGTCTTTGGTCGCAGAGATGGACCGACGTTGGATACTCCAGAGCTGCATGTGTAATGCAAGCAGCCATGGAAAGTGTAACTACACCCCAGTCAAGTCTACTCACATAAGCTCAAATTTCCACCTGAAAACAACAACTGCCACGCAGGCGCACCAAATCAACATTCTGTTCATTTCCTGCTGCGAATCCTGTTCATTTGTCAATTGGCCTCAAATACCTTCCGCGTGCGCAAAGGCTCACGTTAACGCTTGCGCCTGCAACAACGAAGCATTACCCTCAGTATAAGATGCAGACATCAAAAACCTTGCGAAGTCGATTGATCTGGCTTAGATTTCTCGCTTGCATGTGCCGTGCCATTCACCTTGCTTCCAGATGAAACGCCTGCCATCCTTCCAAGAAATCACAACTAAAAACATTTCGTTTTTCAGACCAAAGCTGTCCCATTCTACACGTATACACAAAGCTCAATATATTCAAACAGAATCTAATCAATGTCTCTGATGTTTGATTTGGTTCATTCCACATCCAGAGGTCCTCTTCCAACAAGCTAGAGACAATCTTCATCTATTGATTTGCAAGGTGCATTCTCTTGTCTTTTCTAACGATCTCACGAAACATAATCATCACGGCTGGTCTCATGCTTGAGTTCGGCTAGATCAAAGACTTGCTCCGAACAAATGTGACAGCACTTGTCTTCAATCGAGCCCTGTACCTCGTCGCCCTACACTCAGCGCAAACCATTGTTGTGTATACACAGCATTGTTGTCCTCGGACCACCAACCTAAACCAGGTGAGCTAATCACCTCTACCCCATGTTCAAATTACCCCACCGTACAAAAGATGCTGGATAACCCCAGAATATCCCCAGGAAGTTCCGGTTCTTCATTAACCCCACCCACCAAATATCACCAAGTCCGATGCTTGTCTCCACGGTGGGTCCGAGAGGTGCAGGCAGTCGGGGTTTGGGGAACAGCTACGATAAAGGGTAGGGTGATCTGATGATTTCAAGGGGGTAGGGTGAGATTCCATGGAAGGGGTAGTGTATGTGTCTTCTTGGCAATGGTTGAGCATAGGGGTGTAATTGATATGCGCCTTCACAAGCGGGGTGGGTGTTGTTTGGAGGTGGGTCATCGAGGAGATCGAATTGGTGGCCGTACCCGTTGTGTAGGCCATGGAGTATCTTTCATTATTACCGGGGTGGTGTGAAGAATGATCATATGGGGTGGTGGGAATAATAAATAATGTACGCCTGAAAAGAGAGGGGTCTGGTAGGGTGGGGGTAGTACAAGCAAGGGGTAGTAAAGCCTCTCAGTGGCACCCCACAAGTGCAGGGCGATATGGTGCCCCCAGTTGCAGTGCTAGGGCTCACCTAATACAGTGACCGGTGATTTGAAAGCTTTGAAGTATCAAATACCGATGGGTGGGTAGTAGTGTCTGACCCCTGAACTACCCAGAGTGTCAAAGGGGGGTTCTACTCCCTCGGAAGAGGGCCTGTCACAGAAACAGCCTATGATACCTGAAGGGTGCTTCAAATTACTCAATTTACTTGATAGGAGGTCATAGGAAGGAGAGGGAGGTCTTAGCAAGACCACCTTCTAGGATATACCACTTGAGGTCATAGGAAACACATGGGACATTGTATGATAAGCTCAGGGTCCATAACGGGCACACAAGTTACGACCCTCGGCGACAGGCCCGCCCGACCATGACTCGCCGCACCGGGCGGGCCGGGCGCCTGGCGGCCGGCGGCGGCCGGGCGGGCGTCACCGTCACTGCTAAGTGTCGCGGGGCCCGCCGTCCGATCACGCTGGACGGCGGCCCCACTGGGATGATGATGGCGGCCGATCGCCGGATGCCACTCGAGTCAGATAATCTGAGGGGGCCCGGGGGGCCGCCGCCCCCAGGCTGAGCCGCCGAGGTGACCGACAGTGGGGCCGGGCGGCCCCCGGGCCCGGCCGGGCGGGGGTCCGATCACTGTGACGCCGCCGCGCGGCGCGGCCAGGCCGCGCTGAGCGGCGGGCCGGCCGGCGCGGCGGCCCGTGACAGTCACGGGCATCCCGCAGGGGCCGGCTGCGGATAGCTATCAGCCCTGCACTGCGGCAGTTCAAGTTACTAAGTTAGGAGACAGCCGCTGTCGGCAGGACTCGGGATTGGGTTTGGTTCTCGCTGTCTTTTCTCTCAGTTCTCGCCGTTTGGCCTGTGCGACAGTGTCAGGGTCAAGCCTCCTCGCCTCTCCTGATTGTCCTCGTACTGATTTTTAACTTAACTTTGAGTAAAGAGCCTTACGCCGTTATGTATGTATCACAGTGCCCGGCCGCCGGGCCGCGCGGCCGCCGGGGCCGCCCCGTACCCCGGTGACCGCCCGGCCGGTGACCGCCGGTTTACAACGTACGGGCACTTTTATTGACACTTCGCCCATCCGATGGCACCGATGGCGACCGTCGGACAGTGCGTCAGCCGGGTGCTGGCATGTTCTTGCTGACAAAAGACTGGCCCAGTGTGCAAAGGAACTTAGTGGAGAAGGCCCTGAGGAACTTCGGAAGCTCCTCAGTCGAGAGACCAGAAAGCTTGACGTCCTTAAAGCCATACACGGCAGGCTTCTGTTCGTGGGGAGTCTAAGGCGGCTGGAACATATTTGTATTCCCAGTCCTCTTGTAATGTTAGCATCGATGAAAACTGCAGTTCATCTTTTATGGACCTTTTTAGTCTTCTCTTCACTGGTTTCTTGTCAAAACTTTTCCACAACATCTTTGTATCGTTTTGAGATGCGAAGGTCTTTGGTACCTGCGAACATTTACAACACAGCGCATTGTGGGAAGAAATTCCGAATAGCCACGCATCACTACCCTCCACTTATTAACGTGGACACGACCAAGTGCATCAACCAGCTTTGCCCAGCAACAGCCTTTATCAATGGAGGCGGCCTCACGTACGAGTTTATGAACAACGAGGTCTTGAACAACTTGAAGAGCATGTGCCGAGCGAGCGGCGTTTCGGAATCAGTTGTCTTCGAATGGTACATCCCTCGAGTCAACCCCACTTCCCCTGATGCTGCGGTTGAGATGGTCCAGTACTGACACCTGCTTGCTTCAACTGACTCTGCTGGTCAGGTGTGTCAGGGATCATTTTCTGCACTCCCACCCTCGTCTTGGAATACAACCTATAATGGGCAGAGATGCGCGGCCGCGGCAAAGGCCTACAAAGGGCCCAGCAACGTGACGTCCTGCACGCGCATCGGGGATCCCACTTGTGCAAGCACAGGCCCAGATCTTGTTGCAGGCGCGATTCCAGTAGCTTCACGATTCTCAGATCTTCTTTCCTTCACGTCGTCTTACTATCAGTATCAGCAACACATAGTGAAGCGCCCGATCCCGCCTCAAATTCCCATAGACGGTCTTGTCAACGTTTTCCTTCCCTTCACAGGTTGGCTGTGGGGAGCGATTCTGCTGGAGTGTATAGTTGTGTTTGTGTCGTTGCTGATGATCGAGTCCCCCTACAACGTCGAGAACATCCGGCAGGGCAAGGCGATGTTCTTCGACACTTGGTACTGGGTGATCTGTACGCTTTGTGCAGCTCCAGATAAGGATGCATTCACACTGGGAGGACGAATCGTCTACCTCTCGCATCTCTTCTTCGGCACCTTAATCACTGCCACCTACACTGGAGCCATCGCAGCTTTCCTGACCCAGCAGGCTGTTGTGGTCAGTGTGCAAGACTTTCAGTCCTTCACGTCTGGTCAATTCAGCGCTCTTGTGCTCGGGCCAAGTTGGAACCCGAGAGACCCACAGCCTCCCTATCTTGGCAAGTTCGTCGCTGGGACCTCGACGACCACAATGATTCCATCGGATCAGTTCAACTATCTGCAAACAATCATGCAGCAGGATCCCAAGATCACCATCTCCATCTTCACTGCTGATCGCGTGGATTCCATTTACACCAACGGCCAACCACTGGTGTCAAGCACATCGGTGAATCCATGCAAATTGACAACTGGGGCTTCGTATGGAATCTTCGACATCGTGCAGTGCGGGAGGCTCTACCCCAGCGCCAGGGCAGGAAGCGGACCAGACGCGCTCTTCTACGACGGGCCTGTCGTATATAACGAGCTCAACAACCGTTACAGCAGAACTGGCAAATGTAGTCTCGTTACCATCGGCGATGGTTTTCACGTGAACGGCTACGGCCTTGGGTTCCCCTACTCCTCCATCTTCTACCATCCCTTGAGCTCGGCAATGCTGCAAGCGACTGAGGCCGGAGCAGTAGACGACTACCTGCAGTCTTACGGTCTGAGAGCCAATGACTTGACATGTACAGAGGTGGTGGCAGATGGAGGTAACGTGATGGACATCTGGGAGATCTGGGGCCTCTTCGCTCTCTGCACTTTGTTCCTCATCGCAGCTTTCTCATCCGGATTCTTCGCGAGAATGAAAGACAAGTGGAAGGCCAAGAAAGAGGCAGAGGCTCTCAAGGCTCGAGAGGAGGCGAGGGCTGCTCTTATGATAGAGAGTGGGAAGGAAGGCGCTGCAGACGAGGACAACAAACAAAAGGAAGAAGACAAGGAAGAGGAACCGGAGGATGAGGATGAGGAGGGGAAGGATGAGATTTTTGATCTTCCAACGATTCTGAATGGAATTGATGAGAAGATACATTCAGTACGAGAAATCAGCAAGGCCCTGTAGTTTTGACAATATACAACAGCAAAAACAAGAATAAAACTTCATCTACACAACCCTGATGCATTGCCACAACAATTGAACTTCCTTCTCATTTCAATGTCCATGTTCGATCCGCGCAAGCGCTGAATCTGCAGACGTATCAGGCAAGTAGGATATCGAGTATTAGACGCACGGGGTCGAGGAGGAAGAAGCAGTCTCCCACCCACGTCGCTTGTTGTTTCCCGTAGGCTCGAACCCTTAGAGCTTCGCGTCCTCATCGAGGTGGAAGGCCGCGACTGGTGTGAAGTAGCAAGTCTCACGTTCGACCTGCTACGGCTGGTCATCAAACCCCCTTCACCTTTCCGCACACCTCCTTAACCTCCTCATCTCACTTCCCTCGCCCCCCCCATATTAGCCACTGCCAAGTCCACCAACATTACCACCTGCTTCCTCCACGCCCTCCCTTCCTCTTGTTCCTCCTTATTCTCTTGCTCGTCCTCCCCTGACACTTACTTCTCCTCTTTGGGGAAACTTCCCTCTCTGCGAATGAATTCGAAGAGCTCGCGTGCGTCCTCAATCTCAGAGTTCAAAAGTCAGCGGGACCACAGAAGAGGAAAACAAAGCTCAACAATGGATAATACGATTGAACACGAAAAACACCAGGTGACAACAGTTGACGGTAAGACATCGAGCGATGTGTTGTGTGAAACAGAAGGAGGTGGTGATGGAGGAAGTAATGGTTGCAGAAAATTCAAGAAGGAATGGAAGAAAAACGATATCAAGGGTGAACATCGTGAGTTGAATGTTGTTGAAGAGGAGGGAGGAAGGTAGAGGAGCGAAGTAGAGGAGGGAGAGAACCAGGAGGAAGAGAAAGAGGTTGGAGGGGAGGTGGTGGTGGTAACAGAAATTTACCATCCTCTTGAGGCTGCTTTCTCCCAGCTCTCCATCCCAGTTCTTGCACTCTCGGCCTTCATGAGATTGTATCAGTCCTCCCCTACCTCGCTGCTCTATCCTTGCTCCTAGCTGTATAGCAAACCTGCCAGTAAGTATGAGGAGATGCATGGGATGGTCGGGAAAAAAAGAAGGGGAAACAATGCGTAGAGAAGAGAGGAGAGAGAGAGAAGCGTAGCAAGCGAGAGATGGGCACGAAACGATTAATAGAAGTTGAGACAAGTTTGTGAAGCCAGGAATGGTGAGAAGCTTAGAGGTTTGATGGCAAACGAGTGGTAGGAACAAAAAAAGGTGATGTACGTAAGCAGCCCCTGCGCATCTGAAATTCTTCCAAGCATCATCGAGGCTATGGCAACAGCATACGCCACGTAGGCAGTAATGTACCTGAATAAATGAATAAGGAAAGAACTATAGTGGCATGACTATGAAATCGTCTTCCTCCCCTCCTCCCTTCTCCCTCTTCCCTCCTCCTTTCCTCTGGTGCTCCTCCTCTTCCATGCGCTCTTGAAAGACGGGCGAGAATATTCATAAACAAACCCTTCCACACGTGTGTCCGAATCAGCTGCTTACATGCTCGAGTGAATGGCCACTACGGGTTTTCGCTTCAGCGACAAGGAAGAAGAGGAGGCGAACGATGAAAGAACGTCTGCATTCTTCCACTGGTTGGAGGAGACCCGTGGGAGCAGAAGAGCCGCTGATGTCTTGCTGCGACGCTTCATGGCAGACTGCAAACAAGAGTGAGGAAGAGAAGGTGAAGGCGAATGCAAAGAGGTGCAAGTGATAAGAGCGGAGAAGAGAAAGTAGAAGAAGAACAAAGGAGATGAGGATTAGTTGCTGACCATCCTCACTCGAAAGGCTCCTTCTGGCCCACATGCTTTTGATGTGACATGAGCAGATGCCTGAAAGCATGAGGACTCGTTGAGCCGGCGGAGGAGCGCGAGAAGCTGCAGACCCTGGCAGGGATACATTTCAGTCAGACTAAAGGAAGATGAAGAGACAGGATAAGGTGAGGAGGGGAACAAGAGAGGTCGGGGAAGAGAAGAACCTCTTCGAGAGCTCGCAAGAAATTTTCAACGAGAAGAAGAGCCTCTAGTCGATGAGCGAGGATGATAATGAGATGAAGAAAAAGGGGATCGTTAAGGATTTCTCTGCTCGTTTTTCTTTGCTCGCCAGTCCCTTCTTCCTCTCCCGCAAAGATCGATGTTTTTCCTCCCTTCTGCCTTGGTTGGTCTCCTCCTTTCTTCCTCTCCTCCTCCTGCCCTCCCATCCCCTCCTCTTGGTTTTTACTCTCTTGTTCACTCTCTCTCTCGTCCAGCATATGTGATTGTTCTCTCTCGCTGTCGTCAAGTATCTGTGACAACATCTTGATGCCATCCGATGGTTCAAGCGTGTGAGTTTGAAGGTCAAGATTCGAAATCTGCCAGCACAATTACTCAGCGAAAAAACAGAAGTGATATATGCAAAAGAAACAGTCAGGTAATGCAGCGAGAAGCAGAATGGAAGACAAGAAGATAGGGAGTGGAGAAAGACGAGGAGGATGGAGTGATCGCACAGGACTGATGAAAACAACGCGAGGGTACCTTCATCGCCTTCACGCATTCATGGAGAGCCTGCTGGAGAGCTGACAGGGAGAGAGAATATTGCTTTGCTTGGTAGTGTGACAAGGCCAACGTGTCGAAGGTCCACACGAGGAGCGAAGAAGAAATCTCCTGGTTGTTCTCATGTCGCGCGATCGTGATGGCAGCTCCGAAGAAAATCTGCAGATTCAACCAAGTCAGGGAAGCATCAGGAGCCGAGGAAGAATGGGCGATCAGCAGCAGCATTTGTGAGGAACCAAGTGAAGGATGGAAAGAACAAGATGAGGGAGAGATAGATGAAGGGACAGTCACCGAAGCATGCTCAGGTCTGTTTCTGAGGAGCAGACTCAATCCGAACTTGTTGCAGGTGAAGACAAGAGAGATGTTGACGTCGCTGCTTGAGGAGGGGCGGAGACTCTCCTCCATCTCCTTCGTCCTCAGGCTCTGACTCAGCATCTCCATCCGCACAAGACTGTCTGCTGCCTCCTCCTCTTCCATCATGTCTTCAACGGATCGGAGGAAGAGCAGCAGCGACTTTGACACGACAAGGTCAAGCACCGGAGCATGCAACAGCCACTCTGTCCTGACGTGCCGTCGTGCAAAGGGAGATGATAACATTCGCCCGAGCTCGTTTTTCTTCACCTCCTCCCTCCCTCCTCCCTGTCTCAGCGGATGTTCTACCTGTAGAGATGGAGACGGGCGCCGCCTTTCCCCTCTATCGCCGAGCCTTCCAGACCGAGGGCGATCCAACCTGCTGGAAGGGCGGGCAAAGCTTTCGTGGGCGATGGTCTTGATGACCAGGAAGTCGCTCGAAGTGCCCGCAAAGTCCGGGTGAGGAAGAGCTGAGGACGATCTGACAGCATTGAGGAAGTCGAGGAAGACGTCCGACTCGACGTCGCTGCTCAGCGTGTTCCTCAGCTGCAGCACCAGCTTGCGAATGTTGCTCTCCACCATGCTCACCTGTGTGAAGCGCGAGCCGCGTGCTTCTTCCCAAGCAAGCTGAGGGAGGCAGTGAATCGAAGAGCAAGACACAAGTAAGTGAGACATGTCAGGAAGAAGGCGAGCAGAGAGAACAGAGAAAGTTCAACCTGCGAGAAGCTTCGAGGAATCTGGATGTTGAAGTTGGTGGGGTCGCACATGGTTGCGATCGACATGTTGAAATTCAAGATGATCAAGTGATGGTGTCGGGCAAAAGGAGCAACTGAAGACTCGTACTCTGATGTTCGACCTCCTGCTCGCCCGCCTCCTTCTCCTCCTCCTGTTCCCTCCCCTCCTTTCATCATCAAATGCTGCGCAAGCTTGAGGTCTCGGATGGCCTCCATGAAACGTGCTGCGCGGCAAAGAAAGGAGGAGCGAGCGAGACAAATCAAGATCTTCGCCTCCTCCCGCGGTTTGGTTTTCTCCTGCTCAATCGCACAGTCGAAGTACTCGAGGGCGACGGGCTGCATGCGGGAGGAGCAGAAGAAGACTGCGAGGTTGCACAGCGTCCAGCAGCGGAGGATGCGCTTCATGGGGAAGGAGGGGGTGTAGTGACCCGTGACTACCTCCACCTTCTTCAGTACTCGCTCTGCTACCGGGTCTTCACACATGCCCAGGAAATGCATCGCACAGTAGTTACCAACGACAGAGAGCAGCTGAGCTGCCTCCTCCTCCCCCTTCGCCTTCCTGCTCAGAACTCCGTTCACCTCGTCCTCAACAAACCTCGCGCACTCCTCATGCTTCCTCCTGCTGAGGCAGAAGAAAACCTTTCGAACGATTGGGTTCCGAACGTGTCGGAGAAGGTAGTCGTAGAACACGCACTGAAAGGAGGGCCACATCGACTCGACTCGGAGCTTCTCCTGCTCTTCTTTGTCCACCTCTGCAATCTCGCTCCTGAATTGTGTGATCGTCGCGTACTCCGCATGCTCCTCCTCGTCGTGTTGTAGAAAGTTTTCATCCTCCTCCTGGTCTTGCACGACCGGCTCGAAGCTATCAGACCTGTCGCGCTCCACCGAAGTGCTGCTGACAGAGCCAGCTCTGATACCGTCCTTCATGCTGTGAAGCCATAAGTCTGCCCCATCATAACGCGGGAGCTCCACCTCGGGCTGCTCCTCGTCTGCAAAAGGCGATGCTATATCTCCTTTCATTTGTCCTCCCTCTCCTCCAGTTTCTTTCTCCTCCTCATTTGCTTGCCCTCCTCCTTCCTCTTCGTTGACGTTTCCTCCTCCTTTCTCTCTATTTGCCTCACCAGACTGCTCCTTGAAAGTCCCATGTTCTTGTGCCTGGCAGCCGGTTTCTCCAACGCCCTCACCCCATGCCTCATTCTCTTCGTCTCCTGCTCTTCCTCTTGCTTCCTCGTCGTCATCGGCAGACTCCGTGCCGTCACCATCATCTTTGCGCATCTCCTCGTCCTCGTATGTTTCTTCCTCGCTGATTACTTCATCTTCGATTTCTGAGGCTTCGTCGGAGCGTTGAGACATTCTCTCTCCGCCTGCTCCTCCTTTCTTCCGAGCTCCTTCTCCTTCTTAATCGTTCACCTCCCCCTCCCCCTCTTCCACGCTCTCTCCCTCCAACTTCACAACCACCATTCCCGGTGACTTCAGTTTACTCAAAGTTAAGTTAAAAATCAGTACAAGGGCACATTCCGGTCAGTACCTCCCCAGCAACCGTCGTGGAACTCGGAATAGGGCGGATCGTGACGATGCGGCCATAGGAGCAACCAGCAGCGAACACAGGAGCAGAAGAGCGGAGGAGGAGAAGCTGACGAAAAACATGAGACAGATATGAAGGAAGCAGCAGCAGCAGATAGGGCAGACATGCAGGAAGAAGCAGCAGCAGCCCAGACGTGAATATCCAGCATAGGCAAAGCGAGGATGTGAATAGTTACAAGAAAAGCTGGGCAAGAGTATCATTTCAAGTACAATGAACTGTGATGTTGTCAATGACATTTGAATCATGGTCATCAGACAAGATGCATTTATATCGAACAGTCTTGTTCGCTCCAGTTATGTCCAGTCGCCCATCTGTGTTGGTGAGAGACAAGTCTTCCTCATGATCGTCATTATCATCGTCTTCATCTCCGTAAACTCCATCAGCATCATCTCCATCAGCATCATCTCCATCATCATCTGCATCATCATCATCTCCATCATCATCAGTTGTTGATATTTCAACAGGAGAATGTTCTCAGCCATCAAATGAGGATGCGGGGATTGTGTAGGAGCTGCCTTTCTTCTCCATGTTGTCACTAGCTTCTTCTTCTCCAGCTCTGCTGAAACTTCCTTAGCATATTGGACGAAGATGGCGACAAGAGAAAGAAGAGCATTCACCATGAAAGTAAATGATGTTACAGCTGATGACAAACATCCGCCACAAATCGTTGCAAAGGAAGTCATCGCATCCACAAGGTATCTCCTTTGCTCTTCCTCTCAACTTCTCGCCTCCTCATCTTTGATCCTGCTTCTCAATTTGTAGACATTCGGCTGTCACTTCCTCAACGTCCAACGTGCTGCTCATCATTCTTTACTGTTCCTTCTCTTGATCTCATACGCCAGCTTCTCCTCGCAACTTCTCATGACACATCTGCTACAGATGGCTGCAGCTTGTCAAACTGACTTGGAGGGATGGAAGAGGAGGCGTCATGCAGTGGGATGCGGCTGAGCGTCCTGGGTTCAGCCCTTCAGGTCAGGCTCGTTTCCTGGTCTCCTCTCTCTCCCCTCTCCCCTTGGACCACTCGTCTTTCTTGCTCTCTCCCTGCTCGATCTCAATCTCTCACCTCCCTCTTCACTCTTCTTCAGACTCCCTCACAGCTGATAGGCCCCCCCTTTATGTCTCCGCAAGCCAGTGCTGTTGCCATCCTCCCTATCGTTCGCCGCGCAGGTCCTTTCCTCTCCCTCTCTTCCTTAGCTCATCGTGGCTCAGGCTTTGACTCCGAAGTTGTCCTCATCACTCAATTCCGTCCTGCGCTAGGAAAGATATGCATAGAGGCGCCTGCCGGTACCTGATCGCTTCCTCCTCCTTTCGCGTTCCTCTTGCCTTCTGCTCGCATCATCCAGCTGCTCTTGTCCTGCTCGTCTTGCTTACCTCAGCTGCACAGGTCTGGTGGATCCCAACGAGAAGGTGGAGGAAGCAGCGGTAAGACGATCCACCTCTCCTCCTGCCTCACCTCCTTCCCCCAGACCCGCGAGCTGCTGGAGGAGACTGGCTTGCGAGCTGGGAAGGTGCTGGATGAGGATGAGACAGCTCTTTGCAATGACCCAGGCATCACCAACGCGGCATGCAAACTTATCGTAAAGATGAGAAAGAGATGTGCTGAGTGCTGACTAGACTGGTCACAGATTGTAGAGGTTGACGGGGACACGGAAGAAAACAGAGCGTCGTTGAAGAGAGGAGAGGAAGGGAAGGTGTTGCTGCTCGCTCTTCTCGCTCCAACTTGCTCTGGCTCACGTCTATGAAGCTCTTCGGAGTAGCAGAGGAAGGAGAAGCGATCCAAGTGCTCCGACTGCCTCTCAAGGTTCGTTGGAGGAATACGGGGAGTACCAAGCCGAGGAAGAGGAGACCAAGAATGAACCAAGGGAGAGGAAGAAAGGGGATGAACTGGGAAATGAATAGAGAAGAGGGAAAAGCAGAGAAGGGAAACGAGGAAGGGAGGGGAAGGGAGGGGAGTGGGAGAACTGAGGCGTTTTCCTCTACAGAACCTCAGGGGTCAACTTAACGAAATGATCGCCCAAGGAATGGCCGTCGACGGAAAACTTCACTGCTTTGCTCGAGGGTTGGAGATGGCAACGAAAATTATATGAAAGTGTTTCTTAGATCAGCGAGAACCAAAGCACTCTGACAAAAAGGTCGTTTTCTTGAAAGATGAGTTTATTTGCCGCATCATTATGTAAAGAATAAGAAATAGGCGTGATATTTTCGTAAGGAAGAGAAAAGTCATATACAAGCACAATTGAGAAACATAAAATGTGAAACGGAGAAAGAACATTGAGGGAAAAAAGAAATATGAAAATTGTGCAGTTCAAGGAGATGGGAGGAAGAAAGGCAAGAATGCATGGGGGTTGAAACAATATCACTCGAATAGGGACTGACTTCTGATGATGGTGATGATCACGATTGGAAGGAAGGCAGGACAGAGGAGGGTGGAACGAGGAGGAGGAGGAAAAGGTGGTGGTGGAGGAGAGGGGGGGGAAGTGGTGGAGGAGGAGGGGGAGGAGGAAGGAAAAAAGGAGGAGGAGGAGGAGGAGGAGGAGGAGGACAGCAGATTGGCAGGGGAGCTTTCTTAGTCTTGGGAGACCTCGTGCTGTCTTCCCAGACGGGCGAGAGCTGCTGAAGCTAGCAAGGCACGGCTGCACGCACGTCAAGACCAAGTAGAGGAGGAGGAGGAGG